CCCCCCCAGGAGGACCGGGGAGACACAGAGCGGCTTTTCTCGCCGCGGAGGACGTGGGTGGCGAGAAAAGCCACGCGTCTCCCTGGTCTGCTGGGGGGGGGGGGCGCTAGCTCCGTGTCTCCCTGGTCTGCTGGGGGGAAGCGCCCCCTGCGCCGCTGGAGGCGGTGACAGTGGGGGAGGCACCCCGCACTAGCTGCGTGCCCCCGCCTCCCCCGTTCGTAACTAGGGGTCCGACTTAAGTCGGACCGACATAACCCGGGGACTGCCTGTAATGGAAAAATGACTGGCAATAGTCTTGTGGAAGCTTGCAGTGCTCGATAGCTGGGAATCAATTTGGAGTGGGAAAATTTACAGTGAAGTCTGTTGTAATTCAAGTAGCCAAGGCAATCAGTGCCCTTCTGCTATGTAGGGTAGTGTCTCGGGAAACATTCAGGACATAGTGGAGGGCTTTGCCATGATGGGATTCCCTAATTATGGTGGGATGATAGATGGAATTCATATCCCTATCTTGGCACCCAACCACCTTGCCAAAGAGTACATAAACCACAAGGGGCTACTTCTAGATGGTGCTGCAGGTGCTGGTGGTTCACAAGGGCTGTTTCACCGATATCAGTATTGGATGACTGGGAAAACGCATGATGCGTGCATCTTTAGGAACTCCTGCCTCTTCAGAAAACTGCAAGTGGGAACTTTCTTTCCAGACAAGAAAATTAATATTGAGGTTTTGAAATGACAACAGTGATCCTTGGAGACCCAACCTACCCCTTGCTCCTGTGGTTCATGAAACCGTACACAGGCAGCATGGATCACAATAAGAAGCAGTTCAGCTACAGGCTGAGCAAGTGCAGAATGGGGATAGAATGTGCTTTTGGATGTTTAAAGGGAAGGTTTCACAATCTACTAAGGAGATTATACCTCAGCAAAAGCAACATTCCCATTTTTGTGGCAGCCTGCTGTGTGCTCCGTAATATTTGTGAGCATAAGAGGAGGAAGTCTTTTGGTAGCAAGAGGGGTCAAGGAACAGGGCCGTACCCAGTAATTATGAGCAGCCAGACACCAGGGCAATAAGATGATCACTGTGTGGAGCTCTAGAAAGCAGAGAGGCTTTGAAAAACAGTTTTATGAATTGCCAGACCGTGATATGAGAGTTATGCGTGTTGCTCTTAATGAGATTCCCCTATATTAAGTGTGCTTACCTATAAAGCCCCATCCCTCCAACACAAATGTGTTTTTATTTAGGGAACACAGCAGAGATAGAAAAGGAATTCAGGGCAGGAGATTTGGGTATGTGTATGATGATAGGTTTGAGGACAGCCATTTGCTCCAGGGTGCAACCCTGGGGACTGAATGTGAGATTGCCCTTGATGTTACCCTCTTCTTTCCTCTTCGTGTTCTAGGGCCTCTAGGAGAGGAGACTAGGAACTTGGTGAGGAGGGAATATGGCTCTGCCAGGGCTGCCTGTGCATGTAGCTGTCTTGGAAGGCCGCCGTATGGTTCATCACATCCACCCATGACCATCAAGACTTTCATAATTTTTGAGCTGATAAACGATATTTGAATGCTTGGGTTAGCAATATTGGACCTTTGAAGATGTATCTAAGCTTTTGCTTTCTAAAATAGTAGTATCCTTATGATTGGGAAGAAAACCTTCTAAGTGTGAACGAAGTATAGACTTAATGTATTATTTCCTTCAGTCTTCAGAAGGTCTGGGATTTTTTCTGTGCACGCTTGAATGGGAATTTTGTATAGGGGATTACACTTATCCAAACATAGACAATTTAAAAGGAAGTGGTAACCAAAACCCACATAGTTTCTTTATGGATCTTTCTGACAGTTAAGCAATGAAGAAAATTCATACAGATATTTTACTTCACTTAAATATACAGATATTTATAAAATGCTTTGAAGATGAAAAAATGTATTATAAAAACTTGGTAATGTTAATAACTTTTAACTACTTATACTTACAATCATCAAGAGCCCAGTGGCCTTCCTAATTTCTTTTCCACTTCCTGCTTTCTCTGCCACTTTGTCCTTACAGATGAACTACTTGATTGGTTTGCCTTCACATTTGTGAAAATAGTCTCTGGTGACCATCCATTTGCAAAGAGTCCTAGAATTAAGGGGACAAGTCAGGCTTTGGTAGATTAATCAGTCTTCACCATCTTATTTAATATTGGGGAGGAGGGGAAATGTTTTCATACTTGACAGTGTTTAATTCAGTTTTTGTGTACCTTTTTTAATATTTAGATCCACTAGATGGCACTCTGGTTCTTCTTCCACCAGAGTCACAGCAACGTTTAGTGCAGCTTGTATACTTTCTGCCATGTCTGCCAACCAACTTACTTTGTTCTTTAAGTCGCTGCTGCATTATGGGAAGAATGTCTTCAGATCTAGCTGCCACTCTCATTGGGATACTGCATATGAGGTAAAATGTCCCGTTAGTAAGCTATGCTTTTGTTTTCTAATTTAGTATTTTTTTCTTAAATATCAAGTTACTTTATGCAGTTCTCCATGTAATGATTACACTTCTAGTTTGTAATTGTTTTTACAATGTTTATAAACAATTAGTAGTCCTAGTAATTCAACATGTAAGGACCAATGTCATGTGACCCTGCAGAGTCAGGAATGGGAGCCTGATGGCCTTGTCAAAATCATGTTCCCAGTTCTTTGCTTTGGTCAAGTCCTTCCCCCTTTTCCCCCTTTTCTTGTCTTTTCTCTGTTATGATCTGCTACCTTTGCTCTGCCAGTCATGACAGCTGCCATTTTCATTTTGTTGGTTCTCCATGGGCATATTAACATACTCTGGTTTACAGTAAAAGTCTCTGTAATCAATCCGTGTAGTTGTATCCTGCCGTTCTTCAAACTCCTTCTTAAGATGAATGTCTAACATGATTACAGTGGTAAATAGCCTGATACTGACTCGACAGATTATTGATAATTAATGTCTTGTTGTTAATTGCTTCTTGCCTTGAAAGATCCTCAGAAATCTAGCTTGAAAGTCATTGGATGAAATTTTGGGCCCACTAAGGTCAATGGGAATATTAATGGGGTCAGTATTTCATCCATGATATTTTAGTGTATCTTTTTATAAGAAAGGTTATTTATGGGTGTGACAAAATGGGAATTTTAAGTAATTTTTAAAAGTTTATATTACTTACATGTGCCTCAGTTTCCTGGGTATTGTTACCCAGGGGTGGAGAATGAATGTTTGCTCTTGGTGTGTGGTCAGGGACATTCCTATGAATGGTGCCTAGTTGTCTGAGCTTGAATGAATCCTTGGAAAAGGACTGGCTGAGGCTGACTATGTAGTCCAGTGATACTAGCAACCAAGGGCCAGCGGTACATAGGTTTTTCTCAGGTGAAGAACAAAAGACTAGAGAGATGTGGGATAAGAGTTGGCTGCTGGAAGGAGCTAAGGTTCTCATTTGGGGTCTGATTGAGAAGATCAGCTGGAAAGACAGAGAAAGCTTGAACCGTGGGGTTGGCTATCGCTTGGCTGGTCTCAGGGCTAACTAGATTGGTCTATGCTTTTACCTTTAGTTCTCTATGCAAATCTATCTATGCTGTGTTCCAATTGACTAATAAACCCTACTATTTTGACAGTGCTATTTGAGTGTCACTGCAAATACTTGATGAGGTGCATTAATTCCTGAAGAATGTACAAGTCTACAAGGAGAGTCTCAGTTGGACTCTCTGAACAGAGCTTGTGGTGTGAAGCTGAAGATCTGGAGCCCCAGATCTTTGGGTATAGAAGGTGGGAGGCCACGTGGCCTGCCTTAAAGGAAGAGCTAGACCCTGGGGGCTCTGGCACACTGAATAGTTTCTCCAATAGACTATTCAAAGCTAGGGAGAAGCACCAATTATGTAAATCTGTAACAGAAGGTATCTTTAAAAATTTCCCCCACCTCTGTGGTTGCACTCCAAATGAATAAGATCTAGGTAGAGGATTGAAAACGTCTTACAATTAAAAAAAAAAGTCTAAAACTTAAAAATTAGTTTTCTAAGTAAAGTGTGTGGCAAATAACAAAATGCATAATGGTGGTGTGTGTTTGTGTTGGGGGTGTGTGTTAAAATGTATTAGTACTAATTTAGGATAATCTGAAAAATTGCTTATGGATTCATCACTAGTGTGATGCCAATAAAAATTGTTGTACACTGTATTGTCATGTATTATAATGATAAGATCAAGACCCTGTGCAAGTTGTGGGAAGTTAGAAATAAACTTCTGTGGCAAAGCCCATAGCCATGTTCTGGAAGTTCAGTGGCAGCCTCAATTTCAATAATTGCTTCAATTTGAAATAAAGGGAAAAATGAATAATGGAATGAGGACAGTTTTCCTTGTGTTTATTTTGATATTAAATAAAATTTACTTTATGCTGTCTTAATTTTTCAGTGTGTGGCAGATTTTTGTGTTAAACGCATTACTGCATTCTGGAAGTTGTCAGGAAGCTCGAGATTTTGGCAGCTGGGTAGGGGACAGTTGGTTCTTTTGGCACCTAAGAAGGCGTGGGAGGTAGTTAAGATTTTTGGCACCCAAGAGGCAGTTAAGACTTTTGGCAGTGGAAAAGTAATGCATCTAATCTACCCTTCCTTTCTGTAGGCAGAGGCAAAGAATGATTTTGAAGTTATGGAGTTTGGGGCCATATAGGGCTTTGAATTTCTAGTGTTCTACCCTAGTGATCCTTGACTGAAACTAACTAACCTACTGCTGTCCAGTCCAGTATTTCTCATTTAAATCAGCAATTATGAATAAGAATATTAAATAGGATATTTTTACTTAAGGCACTAGTAGTGAGCAAGTTTACAAAATTGACATTTAAATGTGATTAGTATATTGGAATCAACACCCAACTGAGGTGAATGTGACTATGCACAACTTGTTTTGGTCTGTCTGTGGATTCAGGGTCTTGTCTACAACTACATATTATTAAATTTAAAATATTTGATTGTTGGTACTACCAGTGCAGCTTCATGGATCCTAGCAGCAGTGAGAAATCTGCTCTAGACATTTTACCACTTTTTTGCTTAGATCTACTCTGAATAGAGTTAGACAAGAATGGTGGTCAAGGCATCAGCAGCTAGACTATTTCAGCTATCTTTGCTTCCCCTTGTTGGAAATTTTTAGGGGAAAGAAAATAATATTGTTTGGTAAAAGCAGCCAGAAAGAAGACACTGTGTTGGTTTACAGTCAGGCCCGTTGAAATGAGGAACTTACCAAGATTTGAAAATAATTGGACTCTTGTGAATGATGGGAACTTTGGAGACTTAATTTTTTTTAGAGGGTATATGAATTTCAGTTCCAGGGTGTAAGCCAATCTCTAATGGATGCAGTGGCTTATCTACATGCAAAGTTACATTGGTGAGAGGGTAAAGTATGATTTAAATCATTATAACTCTGTGTGAGGCACTTATCATTCCAGAACAAGAATGCCTTTTCTCAGTTTAGTTTATTACTGCGGAAGCAGTTTAAACTAAACTGGAAAAAGACATTGCAGAATGTGTGTCCACATAGGGACTTATACCAGTATAATTATGATGTCTTAAGTATACCAGTGATATATATGTAACATATTGCTCAGACTAGCCTTAAGAAACTGGCCTTGTGGGCAGATTAGTGAATAATTGCCTGTTGTAAGTGCCAAAACCAGCACATTTGAAGCATCTGGTGTTGTCTGCACTTAGAAACAGGATACTATTCTAGGCAAACCTTTCTTTGATCTAGTAAGGCAATTCCTACCTTTGTCTACATTAGGAAAATCACTGCTAAAAACTCCCTCTGTAACCATTTTTGAAATCATGCAACTGCTAATGTAGATTGGAACAAACCTTTTTCAACTGGCTACAGAAAACCTGCCAGAGAGAATTAAAATATTCTTATACCCATATATGTTATCAATTAAACTTTTTTCAATATCTGTTTTAAAAGGCCCATCGTGGCAGACCTCTGTTTTTATCAGTCAGTTTTCCTCTCTATATATGTAACACCTTTGTATTTAGAAAGTTTTCTTCACAATAAAAAGGGCTAAAAGTATTGTTTAAAAAACGAAAACATTAAAACTCAGACTGCTGCACAGTTTGATATTAAGAGCTCGGTCCTGCATCATATTTTGTAGCAATAGAATTGTGGAATACTCGTATTTTCGTTATACAAATTTATATAAATCAATCTCTCCAGATCCTCCAGTATTCTGTAAATCTTGGATTGCAGCTAGATGGCACTGTTTTGCTTCTATTCATATTCTGTGGGGATACGTTCTCATACATAAGTTTCTCAGAGTCCAGACAACCTGTTTATCTGTCAGATACTTTAAATAAATCATATTCATCAGTACCATTGACTCATTGATATATTTGATAATTGTGTTTGCTGTCTTGAAGAGACTTTCCTTTTGGTTATCCCTACACTGCAAGTCCCATTACCTATATGTGTGTATATATTCCAAGAAACACACAAGAATATATTCTCAGACAGTATAACATTAGAGTTAATGTTGAAAACAAATATTTTGGGTAAAAATTTAAGGTATTATGCTGTCAGAAATAGCATGTTTTTCTAAACAGACAGTATAATTTAGGATAAAAATATTACAGGAATGTTGTAATTATCCCCAAAACAAGCATTATAAACCCAAGAATTGCAGGGATGTATGTATTAGACTTAAAAGAAAAAAAATATGGTATGCAAATTTTCTGTTAAGCTATCCAAACAGCCTCAGCACCAGAGTGACCTGCAGCAATATACACAAAATTATAATTAATGAAATACACACAATTATAATTAATTGGAACTGATTTTTAAAGACTTTAGAAAGTTTTAATTTTTCCCCTCATGGAGTCACCACAGGAAATCAGTCCACCTTTCTGGAAAAGAGTGGCTTTCTGATTCTTTTGGGTGTCAGAAAGAAGCATCACAAGGAACAGATGGATGGAGAAAGTGGCTACTTTTGCTAAGGGCAGCATGGCTTTAGTCATGCTCAGAACAATGAAAGATGGTAGAACCTTTTTGAGTTTCTTGAAAGGAGAACATTATTTGACCTCTGGAAAAACTTTTATTGGAATTTCATCTCTTTATTTTTCTGAATCTTTTGATTGCACCAAATTGCAAGAATCTTTGCTAGTTTTTGTGTAAATTGTTAATGCCTGAACTGAGATCATTCGAGAGAGAGCATTTGACTGCTTAATTTTTTAGAGTAAATTTTAAATAGATTCTTTAGCTCCCAAATTAATGAGTTTACTTGTAAATTCTAGGAAAATTAATTCAGTAATCATCAAAGAGTGAGTAATTTTGGGGAGTGTATGCTAGATTCTCTGCATATAATTAAGTGGTTGAAAACCTGATGTAAGTTCAAATCTCAGCTGAACCGTAACAAAGGAGCTCGAACTGGCAACTCCAGTTCAAAAAGTATAGTTGTTACAGAATAAAAA